AATAAAAAGTCCCCTTCCCAAACCACTACAGTTTTGGGATGCACGTAGTAGCATGACATGTATTAGGAATAAAGTCTTCTGAGTTCTGGTGCTTTTCTGCATGCGGGGTCATTATGTTACCGCTATGTGGTGTCTAGTTAATACAACCTTCACTTCCAGTTACATCCTTGTTGTTATAAAAACTTTTATTTTGGAAAAAAGCGTTTACTGTCAGTGTTAAAAACTGGCATGGCTGCTGTGACACAGGTTAACCCTGTGAGACAAATGGATCTAGAAGTGACGTAAAATTTGGAAATAAATGTTATTTTCACTAGACATGGGTTTTTACGATGCAAAAACAAGTGTGCATTGCCATGTAGCATGTCATTGCAGCGTGGCTTTGCCTGCAGCAGTGGACTTGCAGAATGAAATGTGACCAAGTTCAAATGTGTTTTCAGGTGTTTGTGATGATGGTAATTGTGTGACAATATGAAGTTTAAAGAGAATTTTAGTTAAAGTTGCTGTAGCCGGGTTTTGAACCCTGATCTCCCACATGAAAGCCCATGGCAGTAACCATTAGCCATTGGAGCTGTGGCAGAGAAGATTGCCAGGAGTTGGTTTGTATGTGTGCTGAAAGAGGCCACATTGCCAATGCAATTGTTGACACTAAACTGCAATATATCACAGCAATAGAGCAAAATTAGGACAATATAAAAGTAAAACATCAAAATACAATCATATTAGTATTGTAAACACTGAACTATTGTGATTAAATATTATTAAACTATGTTTCAGTACTGAGTAGATACAGCAGGGGCAGTATTGGACCAATACAAGGTTCCATGGACACGCATTATAAATTATTATACATTAATATTTCAAAAACTATATGTTATACAGGCACCAAAAGGCATAGCCATCATTTAGCACAGGAGCTTTACAGATATAAATTAAAATGGCAGCTCTAGGACAAAGTATGCATGAGGAGAAGCGTGAAAAAGGGGAGATGACTTGGATGGGAAACGAATCACAATAGTGAAATAAACCTTCATTTTATCAGGTGAGGTGTTGGAGAACCAGCTGCACAATTTGCAAGCCTAACCTGGAACCTGCCAGCCCACAGCGCCACCTACAGGAGAAACAGGCAGAATCCTCATGGATCATTTAATAATTTAAAGATGCTGAGTTCTAACATGAGTACAAGTAATATTGTTTGACGGTAAAAAAAAAAAATACATGTTTGTTTTCTTGTATCTCCAAAGTTTGGACGTATTTTTATCTTTAGCTGCTTGGCTTTGGTGCAGCTGCAGTGTTTCTCACAGTGTGTAAAGCTGAAACCTGCACGCTCTCAGGCACCTTCAACCTTCCAGAACACCGTCCGTCCACGCCGAGGTGGAGAGTCGAGTCAAAGACACGAAGAGCTGCAGCTGGCAGCAGCTAAACACACTTTCTCAAGAGGTTTTTATTTATTTATTTATTTATTTATTTATTTTGTTTTTTGCAGCTGAGTTGACATCATGATTACTGTTTATGGCTTTATTTTTGAGGAGTTGCAGCACAACAAAGAAATAAAAGAGCAGATGGTTTCAAGCAGTCTGGCTCGATGACCAGATTTAAATTTTTTCTTGAATAAAGTTCATCATAAATAAGCCTGGTTTATTTGGTTGTAGTTTTATTTATTGCGCTGGCAGCAAATCGCAGGAGGTATTATGAAAGTTTTTTAACAGCATGTCTTTACCATTAAAACATGCAGTTACAACATAACATTTAAAAAGATACTGCTCGGATACAATCAGGGGGATCTCATTAAAATTTATAGTTTGGTCTTTAATTTGCATAAACAAAACCTGAATAAAAACAACAGTAATTGTTCTATGATGATGTCACCACAGACTTTGGAGGAATCTGTGTTTAGATCCAGTTTCCAGACGTCTCAGTTAGTGGAGGATGAACCCAGGAATGTAGAGAGAACAGGAGGAACTCCAGTAAAAGAAGACAAATTAAAACAGTCGACTCAGTGGTTGTGGCAGAACCAGTGGACCCTGCAGGTCTACAGCTACCTTCAGAGGCAGCTGATGGTGATTGGAGCTGATCGCCTCCTGGGGTCTCTCTGTGAGGAGTTTGGTGCTCCGGTTACTTCCCACAGACTGAAACCATGTTTGTTTGGTTAATTGGTCACTAAGTTGTCTCTGAGTGTGAGTGAGAGAGTGAACGGTTGTTTAAGATGAACTTATGACCTGTCCAGGTGCTCCCACACCTTCCAATCTGTGACTGCTGGAGAAAAACACTGTTAACCTTTACCCACAATGACGATGGATGGATGGGTGATAGATGGATGGATGGATGAATGGATGGATGAATGGATGGATGAATGGATTGATGGATGGATGGATGGATGGGTGATGGATGGAGTAATGGATGGATGGATGGATGGATGATGGATGGATGATGGATGAATGGATGGATGGGTGATGGATAAATGGATGGATGAATGGATGGATGGATGGGTGAAAGATGGATGGATGGATGGATGATTGATTGATGGATGGATGGATGAATGGATGGGTGAAAGATGGATGGATGGATGGATGATTGATTGATGGATGGATGGATGAATGGATGGATGGGTGATGGATGAATGGATGGATGAATGGATTGATGGATGGATGGATTAATGAATGGATGGATGGATTAATGAATGGATGGATGGATTATGGATGGATGGATGGATGGATGGATGAATGAATGACAGGTGTGGGCCACATCTGGTGTCACACTGGCCCTACTAGCTGATTGCTGGCACAGCAAGTACTTTGTCAACCAGATGTGGGCCAGGTGTGGAAATGATGGCCCCAAACTGTCCCAGGTACAACTGGCCCAGATATGGTTTCCTGTATGTTAGCCCATATATGGACCACCTGGTCAAACTACAGCTTGGCCAGCAATGGCCCGTCATTCAATGCTGTATC